AACTCTGCCTCAAGCTTCCTGTAGTCAGCTGCTGTTCAGTTTCAGCAGCGGCTGAATCTGGACGCCAGTTCCGACTTACATACAGATTCAACTTAAGAACAAACCTACAGTCCTTATCTTGTACATAACCCGGGGACTGCCTGTAATAATAATAATAATAAATCTAAACACTTATCAAGCTTGATAACACTAAATCTAAACACTTTAACAAGAATAAATCTAAACACTTATATGCTTCTTTTACTTAAATGTATACTACTTAGACTTTTAGTTGTGGGGAACAAATTATGGGGAGTCACTTCCACTTGGGGGAATCATTTTTAATACTTTAATATGTTATCCCTACATCTTCAGTAGCAGCTGAGTAAGAGAGAATGAGATATTGCATGTGTGTGTGTGTGTGTGTGTGCACGCATTTGCGCACCTTCTGTGTATTCCCCCCTCACTAACTCAGGGTCTGCTGGCTCTAGCTACCTTGGGCTAGTAGCTCCAATGTCTTCACCCTCTAGCTAGATATAATGGCTCATGTGCAGGTGTGTGGTGAGGACAGGCAGCCCAGATATGCCTACCTTTAAGATGCAATACAGGCATAGTACTGTATCTTTATGTTTCTTTTCCTACCTGATTAGCTACTTCCTATTTCGTTTGGTGTCCAGTTGACCAGTCAGTGTGTAACCCTGGTGTTCATATCTCTGAGGTTCTGCTATAGTTGTATTTTACACTGGAAGTATAAAATGAACTGCATGTCATACATATGTATGTGAGAGTAGGGAATTATTACAATGAATGAAACGTAACCCCTCCCCAGAGAAGAGATTTATTTAAAATATTTTGGCTTGCTTATGTATGTATATCTGTTGAGATCCTCTTAAAAGTTTTAAACGTAAACTATATTCAATTTCAGGAATGCAAGAAAAGATTATATTACTTCCAAGTATATTGACAGAAAATATGCAAGGAAGAAGCATGTTGACAATGCAGCTAAACTGCATGGCCTCTGTGAAGCAGTCAAAGCAAGAGACATTTTTGGATTGGTTCAAGTATATGCTGATGGTGTGGATCTGACTGAAAAAATTCCACTAGCCAATGGACATGTAAGAGTAGCACATTTTCCTATCCAGCATTTTAATAAGAGATGCAGCATGTTTTATTAATAAAGTGACGCCTCGTAATTTTTGAGTAACTCGCATACGTCTTTGTTGTAAGATGTTTTATAATAGCAAAAGAAGAGTGAATGAATTTAATCAAAATTAAAATCATTCTAATCTATTTTCATGATTTAAAAAGTACTATTTTAAAACCACTCAAGTGTGATTTCTGCTTTTTTTTTTTTTTTAAATCAATTTTATTTAACTTTGGAGGGCGGGGGGAGTTTCTACACGGTATCTTTCCACATAGAATGTGTAAGGATATGGAAACTTTAGTATTTATATTCATCTATTTCAGTGGTTCCCAAACTTTTCAGCATCATGCCCCCTTTTTGATTTTTTGAGAAATCCTCATGCCGCCCCCCCATAGCAGCAAAACTTGTTGAGCAAAAAAAGAAAGGAACTGACTGGGGCTGAAAAACAAAAATACAGGCAGTCCCCGGGTTACGTACAAGATAGGGACTGTAGGTTTGTTCTTAAGTTGAATCTGTATGTAAGTCGGAACTGGCGTCCAGATTCAGCTGCTGCTGAAACTGACC